AGGAGCAGCTGGTGAACTTGAACTGCTGACCTTGTGGTTCAGACTGACCTTGAAGTCCAGCTCTTTAACCTACAATGCCACACTAGGACTCCAACCTAATTTATAATTTCATTTTACCTTATCTTGAGTCTCTCTGCTACCTTATACAGAGCAATAACCAAACATTTAATTTTGAAAATTTGTCACCCTAGACTGGCATACTATTAGTGTTACAAATAGTTTATGGTAGTGATGATGTATAATATGTGTTTCCAATGATTATTGGTGCTTTCTCCTTGGCAGGCAAAAAAAATTGCGGTAACAACAGTGAGTCAGCTTCTAGATGCCAGTGAAGAGACTTTTCAAAGAGCTGCTGATATTGATCAGAATACCTTTAAAACGTAAGCACAACTTCAATTTCGAAAGAAAACTTTACAAAGCTCTGTTTATTTTCCTATGTTTAAGCATTCATGAAGGTATCTGTTTTTCTGTCATGAATGTAATAACTGATGGATACTTCTGGAATGCAGATGAAAACCTTGGCTTTTCACTTATTCTTCTGTGACTAAAGTCCCTAAAGGTTGGCAGTTTGAACTTACCTAGTGGTGCTTTGAAAGAAAGACTTCTTGGGGGCTACTCTTTCTTCCCAAACTCCATCCCTTAAACCTAGAATGATGTGCAAGTTCCCCTAACAAACACCAGGATTTAGCCATCTATGCAGCTTTGACTTCTTCCTTTTTTTATTCAGAATTTCCACTTTGTATCTCTGAACTAGTAAACTTTCTTAGCATGTAGAGTGAAGTGGAAAAGGTGGGAGTAAAACAGAGGACAGGGAGCTAAAAATCCATCCCAGCTTCAGCCATCTCAAGTTGTCACAGTAAAGTTCTTTCTTAAGAAAGTTCTCTTTTTCTAAATTAGAAGAAGATTCAACATTTCTAAATGTTGAAATGGATGGAGTTCTAAGTCAAGGGCAGAAGTTCTGCTAAGGTGGGCACCTTAGTACAGTCAGCGAGTCTAGGATTTCATTTCTCTATTTTGGATAACAATTGATTAGCAAAATCTGAGGCCTTCAAAACATTGCTGTGACCTACAGGCTCACAATTATCCTTGTCTGACTAGCTTTGGGATTGAAAAACTGCTTCTCCAGCACTGATTATCTCAGACATTTACATTTCACATTTGTGGTGGTATTTATTTTCCAAGAAGCTTTCTTTGGTTACAAAAGACCCACTCAGGAATTTAGTGTAAAAAAGTGTATGGGATCTCAAGGGAACCCAAGGACAGCTGGATCCTGAGGACAGTGGAACAGAGAAATGGCTGTGAACCCAAGTCTCCTTTGTAGATCTCAGTAGAGGAGTTTGTGGGTCTTCCTTGTGGGGTAATACAGTGGTTGGAGCCACAGCCTGTGGAGTCAGATAGACTTGAGTTTAAATAGCTATTTAGTTGTTGTTGTTGTTAGGTACTATTGAGTCTGCTCCAACTCACAAAAAATCCATGTACAACAGAAACAAACACTGCCCAGTTCTGCACTATCCTCAAAATTGTTATGTTTGAGTCTACTGTTACAGACACTGTGTCTGTAAGTCTCATTAGGCCTCTTCCTCTTTTTCACTGATGTTTTATTTTATCAAGCATCAAACCCTTTTCCAGGGACTGGTCCCTTTGATAACA